GACGTAAAATTTACCCGCTTAACGCATACAGACTTTAGCTGGAGAACTTCTAAAAAAGGGCATCACACATTTGCTAGTGGTAGTAAAAGAGTAGTAAAGAATTTATAGTGCAATTGTCATTTTCCTTTTCTAAGAGGCTGTAGTGTGGCATTTTTGCAAATTATTTCATATAAACTTAAAGCACGAAATGATCGTTTCCCCTTAAATTATTGGCAAACTCCTAAATTGCCGCTCAATGTATCAATATTTATTTTGCCCCTCAGATTATTCTTATGGTTTAAACATAGTTATTTTATTAGTTCACAATCAAATATTTAACAGATTAATGATGTGTTATTTTTTATATTTCTTTATAAGTTTTTATCAGTTTATCTTTTTTTTCCAACTAAAAAAATACTTTTAACTACATTCTGTCCAAAATACTTTTAGCTACCTCTCTTTTTTAGATTGTAAAATTGTAAGAAATGCAAAAAAAAAAAAAAAAAAAAAAACAACATGCCATTAATCGGTTGAATATTTAGCCGTAGCCTCCAAAATGATGACGTTGCACATACGCACATGCAGGGGAGAAAAAACCCCCCCCCGCCGCCGCCGCCTCCTCTTCGGATTCCAAGAACGGCGAAGGGGAGAAACCTGAGGAGGAGTTGAGGAAGAGCGAGTCCCTCTCGATCTCTGACGGTCCCGATGGACCTCAATTGGACGATCCTGATGATCCCGATGTCAAAGCGGTAACGGAATCGGCCAATAAACTTTGATTAGGGTTTATCTGGTGAAATCAGAAGTTAACCTAGTTAGGTTTTAGGTATATTCTCTTCCTCTGCACGTTAACCGTTTGGGATCGTAGTCGTCCCCTGGATTATTTGGGGTTTTTATTCAGTGAACCATTTAACTTTCACCCAAAAAAGGGGGAAAAATAAAAAGAAAATGGAGAAGAAGCAGTTTCTTTTTCCTGTGATAGATTCATTCTCAGTTTTGGTCAGTGTTTAGTTCTTCGGGATCCTTGGTTATTGTTCTTTAAGGTACACAATTTTTCAGGCACCATTCCGAATTTTCCCAAGAGCTGAGTTTTTAATTCGAAAAATTGACAAAATATTTGCTTGTTAATTCAAAAAGGTTACCATTAGGCTAAGTTCGCATCTAGGGATATATTAACTAATTTTGATTTGGACATTGTGGGGGCTTTCACGTACTGAGTTGTTAGTAATTAGTTAATTGAACTGAAGTTGATCTGTAAAGGAATTTGTACTTCTTTTTATCCTTAACCAGTTGCAAGGTTTTTGATATCGAATATCGGGGAAGTATCGGATAGCCAAAATTCTTATCGGATAGCGGATATCGGGGATACGTGGTAAATATCGGAATGCCATAATGGATGTTTGCAGATATAGTGTAATGAACTAAAATGTAATCTCAACATACTCAATGAAATCTAAGCTTACACAATGTAAATAATACATGTTTAGGCTCACTAATCAACCTTGTAAACAAACATAAGTACAAATATCCCGGTCCAGAATCAAACCCAAGTGGGAGCCATATTGAAACTTGCTAACCGTCCGGATCACATGCGATGGGTCATATGTTTAAGGTCTTATATTTGTATTTTTTTTCTTGAAGTTAAAAGGTCTTTTATTTGCTATCTGATTGAACTTTAATAGTAGACTGTTTGAATGTATACTTGACAATAGAAAATCAAATTATTAGGAGCAAATTTATAATTAAGGTGAATTTCAGAAAACTCTATTGAACTCTGGGGTGTCGTTTGGCAATTAGTTAAGTGAGGAGTTAATGAGACTTAATCCCTTCTTAACGCAAACACAAAAATTTTATATAAGGGTTAAAGTAAATTACCCTCTATAGTTTGCCAAATGCAAAAAATGTGGAAGGGGTGAGCTAATCTTCTAGAGGGATTAAAATGAGTTAACCCATCAAAATGAGGGGTTTACTAATACTTCTATTTAGAAAGATTAAGAGCTTACCTCTTTATTTATAAACAAATAGTTAAAATCCTTGTTATTCCTAAACAAATAAAAATGATCACAATGGTTAAAGTAAAATTATACATACAACGCATATACTGTTGAAAAATGATAGAGGCACAACATGTACCACACCATCAACCACACCCCCTCTCCCTCTACAGTGTAATCTTATGTAAGTGGAAGTTAAGTTGATAGAAGGTTAACTTGAAGATTATTTTTTGTCTTTTAATTAAACTAGACGACTAGCTCTGTTTGGATGGTGCTGTGAAAATGTGAAAATTAGGGGTTTTCTAGGGTATATACCTCAAAGTCAGGGGTGCTAATCTTTAATTTTTGGTAGTTTTTTCCCTGGCTAAATATCCATATTGGTATTTTAATTCCACTCTAATTTCTAACAAGGTATTTTAAATAGGCAAACTCGTTTTAAGATATTTTAATTGAATCAACTAATCAATAAGGCATGTTTTCTCGTCGGCGGGCAAATTTCCGACGAGATCTCATCACGTGCATGGCACGTGATGTCTCAAAACTCATTTTTAGCAGCGACGACGGCAACAATCTCGTCATATTCAGCCCAAAGTATGATAAAATAACGGTTATGACGCCGCCTGAGATCGCTAACCCTATCGAATCGGCTGAATATGACGAGATTGTTGCCGTCGCCGGTGCTAAAAACGAGTTTTGAGACATCATGTGCCATGCACGTGATGAGATCTCACCGGAAATTTGCCCGCCGACGAGAAACCATGTCTTATTGGTTAGTTGGATCAATTAAAATGTCTTAAAGATTTGCCCGCCGACGAGAAACCATGTCTTATTGGTTAGTTGGATCAATTAAAATGTCTTAAAGCGGGTTTGCCTATTTAAAATACCTTGTTGGAATGTCTTAAAGCGGGTTTGCCTATTTAAAATACCTTGTTGGAAATTGGGGTGGAATTAAAATACCAATATAGGTATTTAGCCTTTTTTCCCTGCAAAGGTCATAAAAAGTAATGTTTCTCCCCTAAATTACCCGATGATGCACATTGGTTTGATCCTAATTCCTACATATCAAGTTGGAATTTTTTCATCTAGTCTCATAGTCACAATTTCTCACAAGAAAAGAAGTTTTCGCTCAAGAACGAAATCATCTGGAATTATGAAGTGTATTATTATTATTTGAAATGACAAATTTGAAGTTTGTAGGCAATTCCATCTTTAATCATTTATTTGGCACGGACGCCTCCTCAATTTAGCATGATCTTTTTGGTGTTCAATCTTGCATGACATTTCCCCCTCAACCATATGTTGATAAGCTAAAGATGACTATAAATTTGAAATTTCCAAATGTAGATTTTCATAGCCTAGAATTTATTTTTCACAAAGAGAAAAAATTTAGTCAACTTAGGACTAAATTTTTTTTTAACATATTGTAGGATTTTTGTAAATATCTGAGCACGTTCCAGTGTATAATGAGACATTGGATGGAACTAAGTGTGGATTGGAATATTAGATGTTACAGAACATTTTTATTATTGCTTAGGGAACAAATGTAACAGTTTATAAAGTAATGTTTTTTTTTTGTTTTTGTTTTTTTTTTTTTTTGGGGGGGGGGGGGGTTATCAACATTGGTTAATCAATATTAAGACTAGTTCTGGTATGTGGAAAGGTGAAAGAAAAGAAAGAAAGAAAAAGAAATATGGAAAATGTTGAAGAAAATTAGAGAAGAGGATGCTTGCAATTTTTGGTTGTTAATTTTGTATTCTATACTGGGGTGAACTAGTAGATCACATTTGTTTTAGGTAATGTTTCTCGATTTTAATGTGAGATTTCAATGTGAATAGGTTGCTCTGAGTAATAAAATTGTAAAGAAGGGAATATATTTTTCAGCTATATATTCTAACTTTTTAATGCAATCTTCTTGTCATAATATGATTTTTTAAGTCATATAATTAAACTACACTAATTATAACCAGATATCAGAATTGAATTAAGGTCTGACGACCTTCATAGTTGGAAGAAGGCTGACTTGCATTTTCTTTGGTTTTATATCAAATGATCAAACAAGAGAAACTGATTTCTCATTTCTTTTTGTACAAATTAACTCAAATCGGGACAAATAAAAACTATTATTTATTACCTTAAAATTAAAAATGTAAGCAAAGAAACAAAAGATGAATTCACAATTTTATTTGAAAAATTCTATCCCTATTTCCAAAATCACTCTTAAATCGAGAGTACTTCACTTATTTTTTTATTTAAATTCAAAGTTTTATTTCAACAGATAGGTACACAATAAACAAATAACTTAAAAGTGAAATATAAAAACTTAAAAAATAAAATTAACCAACTTACAGAAAATAATGCCATACACCAAACCAAACGGCTAAGTACAAAATCGGTTTAACAATGATTTCGAGAGTTATTTTGGGTTTCAAAGATAAATGGAGTAGAAGTTTGGGTTTATAGGTAAAACTCCTCAAAAGAAAGCGGCTGATCGCCCCCGAGAGAAATTTCAAACGACGATGGCCGAGTTCAAGCGCCAACCTCTAACCTGAACTCTGCGATCCATTTGCAGAAAAACAGCCCAAAAAAAAAAAAAACAAAAAAAAAAAATGGCATCACAGCAGAGCCCTTCGTCTTCCTCTTCAAAAAAACCCAAGTTCTCAGTCTACCAAAACCCTAAGTTCTCCGCTGCTCTGACCGCCCGCAGCCTCCAGCCCTCCTCCTCCGCCCTCCTCTTCTCCTCCGCCGCCACCGCAATCGCCGGTTTCTCTCTCCACCTTCTAAGCTCTAGGTCCCACTCTAAAAACCCAACTTTTTTCGGGGTTCTTTTTGCAAAACTTTGATATCTTTCTCTTTTTCAGGGAGAAGCAGTTGGTCTACAACTTGACCCAAATTCATGTTCCTCTCTCTACAGCTTGTAAGTACTGCTCAGAGTGAAAACTGTGTCTTTTTAAAGATGCCCACAAAGTGTTTGTGAAAATTCCCCACTGTTTTTCTACAGTTTTGATCTCCAAATGCTTGCAAGGTTTGATCACGTTGCTGCTTGTGCTGTCACTATCGGCTCTTATTCGAGCGTTATCGCTGCGTAAAACGAAGAAGGCACTGGCTATTGCTGCATCCATTGCGAAGAAACCCGAGGAAAAGGATAATCTTTTAACTCAACGGCAACTTGGATTACTTGGGCTGAACCCAAAAGCAACTGAAAATGCTGAGGCTGAGCAATCGAAGAAACCACCCAAATCAAAACCCATTACTCCTCAGCGAACCTCGGAGACTCTTGAGGCTGAGCAATCGAAGAAACCACCCAAATCAAAACCCATTACTCCTCAGCGAACCTCGGAGACTCTCGTTCCGATTCGGAAACCGGGTTTCGGGTCTACCCCTTCTCGCCAGTCAAGAATTGGGTTGGATCACCAGAGCTCCAATAGTGCTAAGAAAACCCCAATATCACCAGTTTCAGCTTCTCCTACTCGGGCTTCTCCATGGTCGAGGCAGAGCTCAGGCAGTGCGAAGGGGATACTAACGGAAGAAATGTTAGAGCAATACTTAGCTGATGTCGATGAAAAGTTCACTGAATCAGCAACTAACTCTGTGACCACAACACCTCAATCAACCGTTAGGGGCTTTGGCATTGCTAGCCCTGGATCGGTTGGCAGCTCAGCTACTGCTTCAGGCACAGCTCGAAGCACTCCATTGAGGCCTGTGAGAATGTCCCCTGGTTCCCATCAGAAGTATACCACGCCACCGAAGAAAGGAGAAGGAGACCTTCCTTCTCCAATGTCAATGGAACAAGCAGTTGAGGCTTTTGAGAATTTGGGTGTGTATCCTCAGATTAGACAGTGGGAGGATAGAATTAGACAGTGGTTTTCTTCGGTTCTGATGAACCCGCTACTTGATAAGATTGAAACAAGCCATATTCAGGTTAGTTGGAGTATATTTGTATGGTATAAACTATAAAGATACTGTGGTTTGTTGTTATTGAAGTATGTAGCTTTTATTTGTTTCTTTGGTCTTGTAGGTTATGCAAGCTGCGTCTGCTATTGGAATATCGATAACTGTTACTCAAGTTGGAAGTGACCCAGTGAGCACAGCAGCTCCTGTTAATGTCTCCCCGATCAATGGAGCTAAAGAGTGGCAACCGGCAGTCACGGTGGATGAAGATGGGCTTCTTCATCAATTACGTGCTAATGGAGCTAAAGAGTGGCAACCGGCAGTCACGGTGGATGAAGATGGGCTTCTTCATCAATTACGTGCTACACTTGTTCAAACACGTGATGGATCAATGTGTGAGTTGTTCTTATTTGTTCCACAGTTCTAGCATAAATGCAACATATCAGTGTGTATTTCAGCTATAAATTGTTTTGCCCCTAATTTGTTGACTAAAATAATTCATGTAGTAATAATGTTTCTTGAGCTAATCTGGATTTATTTGGTTGCATCTTTATTTGAAAAATTGTGGGATTGAATGGAAAAAGAGTTTCTCCTGATATAAAATTTACTCAAAAATCTTACACCTTGTTCGGGTGGAGGTTAATGGATGGAAGTTGAAGTAAAATTTCAATTTCACATTGTTTGGGAGTTTTTTTGAGGGGTTAGAGGATGTAATGGAAGGTTAAATTTCATTCCATTTTCCTCCGCTCCAATTTGGGGGGTAGAGGATGGAATGGAAACCAATGTAAAATTTTACAATGTAATAAGACAATTATACCCTTATGACATTAAAATCAATGGCTAAGATATACTCACATTCGATATGTAAGGGTATTTATGTAACTTTATACATATTCACTTCACTTTCCTCCTCTTTATTAGAACTCCCAAACAAGGTAGACAAATTTACTTCCGTTCCCCTTACTAAACTCCCAAACAACATTTTATCTTTTCACTTCCATTCCCTACCTTTCCTTTCCATTATTTAACTTTCCGTCCCTTCAACTCCCAAACAAAGCGTTAAGATTAGGATTTAGGGATATATAAATCATTTAAATACCTAATATAATCATATATAATGTTTCTTATGATGTCCTGATTTCTTTCATGGGTTCCTGTGATTCGATTTTGCATTGCAGCACAATTACTTCTAGCTGGTCAGCAACAAATACAGCAAAATCCATTGCTTCCCCTAGTACAACAATGTGTAGATGCCATCACTGAGCACCAGAGGCTTAACACATTGATGAAAGGAGAGCTAGTCAAAGGATTGCTTCCACATAGCAGTGTAAGAGCAGATTATACTGTTCAAAGGGTTCGAGGTATTACTTTCTTATCTTCTACAATTATTGAACATTATAATATAGATCTGGAATAGCAATTTTCTTGGTCTAACTTTTCCGCACATATATCACAGAGCTTGCTGAAGGAACATGCTTAAAGAATTTCGACTATATGGGCGATGGAGATAGTTATAACAAAGCAGGAAAAAAGGCATCAAGCGAGCTTCCATCTGACTCCCACTTGCTTTTATATCTGTTCTGTGCTTTCTTGGAGCATCCAAAATGGATGTTACATGTTGATCCTTCATCCTATTCTGGTTCACGATCCAGCAAGAATCCTTTGTTTCTTGGAGTCCTTCCCCCAAAAGATAGGTTTCCAGAGAAATATGTGGCTATTATTTCTGGTGTCCCTTCTGTTATTCACCCAGGAGCTTGTGTGTTGTCTGTTGGAAAGCAAAGTCCACCAATCTTCGCTCTGTATTGGGATAAAAAGCTTCAATTCTCTCTTCAGGTGAGTATTGTTTTGTGAATTAACGTTATCCTTAAATCATTTACTTGGCTTAAATTTCTTGACATGCCATCTGCTGTCTTGTGTATTCTGCTCATAGTTATCAGTTTATTGTGTTTTAAGTTCTATCATTGAATATGTTTAGTTTTTGAACTTGATTTAGCAATCAGGAGTTGAGCATACTTTTTGAAGGGTATAATGTGGCATTTAATGGTTCAAAAAGTATGCTTCTTCGAAACTGTTAATGAGTTGCACATGTAAAGTATGACATAGCATGAGAGAAAACTTTAGTAGTGACATCATGAATCCTTTGTCACGTTAATCCTCAATGTTGGTTGAACAGATTTGTCAGGATATTATTTGGTACATTAATATTATGTTCTTTTTGCAGCCTCAATTAATGCCCCTGTATGTTTACAGTTAAGGGGCTGTTTGGTTCGTGGATTGTTTTTAATGCATGCAATGGATCTAGAAAAATCCATATTCAAAATCATGTCTGTTCTTCAATGGATATTAAATTATATTTGCATAAGAGATAAAATCCAATCAAATGTTGTCTGGTTGCATGTACCGTTTGTTTAGAATATGTGACTAAAATCACAAATCCGATCGAAATCAGCATAATTTTAGAGGATCACATTTGATGCATGTATCCTATGTGTCAACCTCAAATTCGATGCATGAAAAGTAACAAACTAACAAAGTATTTGATAATACCCTTACCCTAGGGTTTTAAGCTTGTGGTTCCCACTTTTCAATGCAAAACCCACAAAATACATAGAAACAAACAGCCCCTAAGTCATAGCTGTTGCTCCAATGATGATCCTGTGGTAAGTTTAACGTAATTGTTAGAATATGGGCTTTCTTAATTATTCCCAGTGTTATAGTGCAACTGAATCTCATTTATCATCAGTTTTGCTTAGGGTCATTTCTTTTACATTATCATATTCTTTTCCTGCTTCCGCTGACAGTCCTTTTTTTAGTTCTGGCTGCTCCTTCAGGTATGACCTTTTCCACAGTTTGATTTAATCGTCAGAATACAGGTTTGCATTAATATTTTTATTGAAAAAAATATCAACTCAAATGCTATTTATTTCGAAATACGATTGTTGCTGTAATTTATATTTGTAAAGTCAATCTGGTTTTATTTTGGAGACGAAATCATTGTGAATGTTCTGTATTTATTTTAAATAGATAATAGATAATAAAACATAGCTTATGTTACGTATTGCATTGTTTCACCTTTTTTGATATCGGGAGGAGAGTGTTACATTATAAGCTATCGCTATTTTAAACATTAGTTGAGAGAGACCAAATTTATTGGTCAAATGTATTTTCTCTCCTCTTCAAGTTATACATAGGTAGTACTTGTACTTGACCCAACCATTGTATACATTATGGAGACATAATAATGTTGATGTAACCAGTGTTACTAGTTTCCCAAATTCATCCTGATCCCAGTTTCCCCTATTTGTAGACTTATCATGTTTATTGGGTTATTTATATGCCAAAGAAGTTACGAAGAATTTATTTTATCGATTAAATGTTTGTGCTACATGAAGGATTTTGGAGCCTTGTTTTAGCAGAAAATAACGCGTATCTAATCAAACGTGATTTTGAATAGGATTTCATATTTGCTTCTGCAAAATTTACCTATTGTTTTTGACATTAACAGGTTTCTTAAGCAACTAATTGCTACTAAAGATTTTTCACTCTTCTTTACTAAACAATTGCCTCCCAATTGGTGATCTCTTTCAGGGAAGAACAGCACTGTGGGATGCTCTTCTGCTGCTCTGCCACAAAATTAAAGTTGGATATGGAGGTATAGTTCGTGGAGTCCATCTCGGTTCTTCAGCATTCAACTTGCTCCCTGTTCTTGATTCGAACGACGAAAGCTGAAGGAAATGTTGTCAGCTTGAAGCCTTCTCGTCCTTGTTGTGAGCTATAGATATTCTGGGTTTTAACTTGGAAGGTCGTCTAACTAGTAATCATCCAAATGTATTTTTCCTGTTATGCTGACTAAACAACTAGCAACTTGTTTCTTGTTACGTAGTTGAGGCGACATCAACACGCAGACTGGTGATTTCTTTTACTCAAGAGTGTAGCAGAACGATCTTTTTTCGGTATCACACCTTAGTTCCTGAATAGGTAGCAATAAGTTTCACCTAACCATTCTGTATGAAATGTTTACTTGATATATTTTTGCGTATATCGTCTTGTGTTATGTCTTTAGCAATGTGAACTTGTAATTGGGGCTAAATACCCGAAGTTATAAAAAGTAGCTCATCACACAGAAATATTAATAGAAAGATGTGGTCAATATAATTATGACAACAATTCCCTTGCATAGAAATTAATAGAAAGATGTGGTCAATATAATTATAAAAATGCACATGCTAGCTAATCACACAGAAATATTCCTATGAACATTTCCACATGCAAGTAACAGATGATACTAATGTGGCATTTCTTACAACTTAGGGTATAAAAGTACTGTTTTTATTACAACTTAGGGTGAAGTGCTACTTTTTGTAACTTAGGGTATTTAAGTGTAAAGATGGTGGAACAATAGGGTATCTAAGTGCCATTTCCTCTGTAATTAGACTAGAGGAATATGCCTCTTCTCCGGCCATTTTAAGTTGGGTTAGTTGCGGATAGACACCCTGAATGAATTTCTTCTCTCTTTTACCCTTATGAGGTCTATCTGTCAAATAACAAAATTTCTCTTTTTGTCACGTATAAGAGTTCGAATATTTTACAGAAGGGACCTACCTGCAATGAAGCCTTCTATGTTTATTTTAGAACTTTAGTGGGTTGGTATGAGCCAGAGAAATCCAACTTGTGAATCGTATCTGATCCATAGTAGTATTGGAGTAAAATGTGATGGGCAAGTTGCTTTCATTGAGCAATAGTCTAAAATCTAAATGGACCTGTTGCTTTCCGCTTAAATAATTATTGAAAAATATTACAGGAGCTGAATCAATGGTTGGGCTCACTCTTGGAGTGAAATCATGATTTTTAATGCTTTTACAATCAATATAGATAGGAGAAAAAAAACATAATGCTCTTCCATAGATATATTATTTTGGGTTTTGCTCCTGCAAATCACAAATAGCGTCATTTTACAGAAATCACATTTCATTTTCAATTTATATATAAACCACCTTTAAAGTAGGTTCGACCATCTCCCAGTAAACATTCTCATTGTAAATCCAAAATACCCTTAAAAAACTCACATTCAAAACATATGACTCACTTTGTTAATGTTTCGGTCTAGTAAGGATACACTTCATGCATCTTAAACGTGCATCCTTAAAATTTATTTTTGGTTTTTAGTGAAGATTTGTGTAGAAGATGTTTGATTGTAGCAAAAACCCACTTTAAAGTTAGCTTATATATAAATTAAATATGAATGATCGTTTCTTTAAATGATCCTATTTTTAAAGTGGTTTCTAGGGTAAAACCCTATATTTTTCTTTTACATCTTTACCTGACATAAGAAAATATTTATAGTTCTAGACACCAACATTTTAAAAAAGAATACTTTCTAAAAAAATTCAAAAACGAAGAGAACATTTACCACAAGTAAATACCAAACACTCCTAAATTACCCCATAGATCATTGTTATACTTGTATTAATAAGACTAAAGCATCAGAGATTATAAGTGTCAGTGGCTTAACAGACAATTATCTGTCTAACAGAGAGTGATTTGATCTCAAACAACCATTTCATAGAACTGTCCAAGATCTAATGTCAGAACACTAATGTTTGCTGGGTGCAGAAGCCTCTTTCATGACCTATATATTGAAAGTCATAACTAGCGAGTAAAATCTCTTTTCCTGCACCAGAACTTTGAAGTCATAGTGAGGATTATAACTTGATACTCTCAACATATCTCCACGACTTAAAAGTGTTTTTTTCGTGAACTGGAACCTTGGGTTTGAAATTTTGGACTTTGATTGCTTCGGTGATATACTAAATTCTCTTGAAAAGCACTAAAACTTCAAATTTATGGTAATAGTTGAGAGTTACAAATTTTATACTCTAGCATAATCATACAAGAACATCAGCAACAAAGTGTGTTATCCAATTATTATCAGATGAACTGCTCGAAATTACTATCATCCCAAGTGAACACATAAAAACATCATGCTCACATAAAGATTGTTCTGAGATAATTTGAACACTCTTCGCCTCATGTTTGGCTGAGAAACACCAACAAAGAAATCACAGAGGTTTCAACTGATACCTGCAGTCTGTGACGCGTTGTTAGTATTATTGACTGAGGACCACAAACACAGATAGTTCAAAGAAAGCATCTCGAAAGAGCTTCATTAAGAGAAGATTCAAGCATATCAACATCATCAAAGATGCCACAAAACACTCAGATAATGTGGAAAGAAAAAACCTACTCAGAAACATATATTCTCCAACAGTTATCTCATGTCTACTATCATAATATGCATTAGACAGACATGGGGGTCTTTAAGCATGAGAGAGAGAGAGAGAGAGAGAGAGAGAGAGAGAGAGAGAGAGAGAGAGAGATTAACAGTCGTGTTCTCAGGAGATAAATTCCTGCTAAGAATCAGAACCATGCCAACAACTAAGAAGGGTAAATGAATATAAGCATGAGCAATTGAAACACAGATGAAAAATAATTCCAAAAACAAAAAAATTGAAAAGTCAAAAGCTACAATTTGATTTTGAAGCGGTAAAAAACAATCAAACACAAAACATGCAACTTTTGTGGCAAAACTGAAGCGTCCTTTGGACATCAGTGCTTGTTAGCTAATTGTTGCATTTTCCCCCTAAGTAGGTACCATATCGCACTACCATATTCACAGATAACATTAGCGATAGAATAAGTATGGATAACAATGACTTTTAACCAAAAGATCAGATAAAAAGGTTTAGCAATACTAGTCCATCATAATTTTCCAACCAACCATAGTTACGAAGAACCCACAAGGTAGGTTTTTAAGGTAGCTGAAAGTAACATACAGACTAGACTAATGATCAGAAATATAGCTCTAAGATTTTAATTTTCTCGCTTGTGAAAGGCAGCTCGATCTTACTATTACTCTCCCGGTGCAGAGACCCCTTGCTTGAGCCTTTCCCTCTTCATCTTCTTCTTTGAAACAGGCTTCTTCTTTTTTGGTGGAAGAGTCTTCTGTGCATAAACATAAAGTGCATAATTTCCAAGGAGGAAAAGCAGAACAAGGCCAACTACCACAATCAGGACTATGACTCCTGGGTTTAACCCTTTTGCAGCCTCCTCCTTTATAATGTTCCCCTGTTGATTTTGTTAAGTAGTTCATAAGCTTGTAATGAATAAGAAAAATGAAAGAAACTAGGAAATATAACTATAGCTAAAGTGATAGGTAAACTAAAGATTGAGGAGAACTACAACAAATGAGGCAATGAAGTGGAAAAGAGTGACTAATGATTAGTTAAGTACATAGCATAATCATCCAGCCCTTTCTCCTACGATCATAAACAGGCTTAATGAACCTACAGTTGACTCCTAAGAGACTATTAAAGCCACTAAGGCTTGTAAGCGGTGAACTGGCTGGTCATGGATTATGGGAGGGAGAACAAGGGTCCATGAGAGCTTCACAAACACCCCAAGAACTTCAGGAGAGAAGGAGGAAGGTGGGGTGGGGGTGTTCCCGAGAACTCCCTAACCTTTGTTTCTCACAACACCCCCACCACTTTGGGTGTTTGTGAACCTGCAATTTTTCTCAATGGACACCCCTATCAGAAAATGACAAATATCTAATATGTCTTTCAGAGAAAATAAACCCCAGTGGAAGCTGGCCTGTTGCCTATTACTTACAAATGACTAAATTCGAGTTTTTCTGCCTCAATAACATTTTAATTATTAGTAATTTAGAAGTAGGGGTCCCCACTGGAAAATTT